ACAAAATGAAAGATATGGGACTTGGAATAGAAATAAATATAAAATCCATTTTTTGTGGAATCGAATGATGATAAGACTAAAATCAAGCGTGATTTTCTGTGGTTTGTTATTTGCATTGTGAAGCCTAAACAAGGTGTAGAATGACTATTAACCAGCAACTTTTTCCAAGTGAAATATTTTTAAAAACATTCAAACTGAACTGAAAAGACTGAGAAAAATGAATACGTTGTTTAAAGAAATGGACTTATGGGACTCTTAATCTGTAGATTTAATTAATCTAAAAGACTCTAATATAAAGATTGTGGTTTTTATGCTCTGTTCCTTTTGTATTTTGATGAAATCTGAATAAACTATGTAAAAATGAAAGGTGCTAGAACTAAATAAACACTGGTCTTCTGCTGTCCATGGTGCTGAATCAGCTTTGTGCTATTAACCTCCACTAAAGCTATGCCAGATCCAAGGCTTTAGTGAGTCCCCGTATGGGAAATTGTTTTGTCTTAAAATCTTTTCGTATGCTCTAAAAAACAGCTTCCTAAATGGTTTCTGACTTGGTTCCTTTAGCAGGGATAGAACCCCTACATTGTGTAGAGGTTCTTTCAACTTTAAAGAGGTTCTTTGTACAGCTCATTTAAAGAACTACCCATTGAAAAGTTCTTTATGGAACCAAATTGACAACAACAACAACAACAACAATGACAACACAGGCAGATAAATGGAAAAAAGTCAAAGAAATGACAATGCATTTTCTGTACAGTTCCAGATTACAGAAGAAAAAAAAAGGGCCTGCTTTACATTCAGGTTGCAAAAAAGTCTGTCTGAGCCTGAAAAATCAAACAAATATAAACATATTTAACCATTTTGCACGTTAAGTGTCTGTGTGTTGGGTCCACACTTCAATTACTCACTCATGACTAAAATCAGTTTCTTAGTTTTACTAAATAATTTGTAGCAGTTACTGAATAATAAGGGCTTACAATTAATATTAATTGAAATTATTACAGTAACATGTGGCCAGAAAATCCCCCTGAGATCCTCTGTTGCTCACAGCCTCTTTGAATTGTGTAGCTTTATATTTGTTGTAAAAATCAATAGCACTGTGTATTCTGAGAGTCCACTGTGCTCCCTGATAAGCAGAGGTGAGCAGTCAGTCCATTCACTCAGCTACATGCATTGAAATACAGTTTGTGAATATGTGCCCAGATATTTTCAAGCAATAATACGTTTATACTCAAGTGTATTTCATGCTTTTCCTCACTTCATTTTTGTGCTTCGCTGTTTGTTTCCTATTCCTTTTTTGTTGGGGTGCAGGGGGTTGGGGAGGGGATGGACTCTAGTGGGATGGATACTAGCTGAATGCAATGCATGTATCTGAGATAATTAGAAACCAAACTTTTATTACTTTTCATTACTGAGTATCAACCATTTTCATTTAATAACCTTGATTTATATTTCATTTAATAATAAAAATTAGTGTGTATTGTTTGGTTCATACCCATAAGACTCTGGGTTAAGACTAAGTTTTGCAGAAGAAGGGACCAAGAAGCCCCTCACCATCATTTACTTTTTCAAAAAGTTACAATGCAAAGATGGACTAAAACTATAATATAATAGTGATTAATAATATTTTAGGCTATATATTATTTAATGTCATATTTTACAAAATACATTATAAATATAATGTTATTTGTGTATATATATACACTGTGTATATAATAAATGAAGAAGATAATGAATGTACAATGAACAACAAACGATTCTGACTCTCCTCTAATGGGCTTGACTTTAACATTATTATAAAAAAAAGAGAAGGATAGGGCCAAATGACAGATGACGGATGCTGGATAGACTAAAAACTTCCTCTACAGTTCATTGTTAAAAATAAATGGTTCTTGGCTTGGATGTACAGTTCTAGGTAAAAAACTGTGATTGGTGCAGAACCTTTACATTATCTATACCTTTACAACTGTAATAATGCTCTTATTTCATTGGTTACTTTTGGAAACACAATGGCTAAATTCTTAAAACGCCCAATGAAATATTGTCCAATCAGGATGTTTTCCTCCATTGGTATTTAGGTAGATCCAGCACAGTGAGCTCTTCCATTGGTTAGGACTTCAGGAGCTGAACTGATGGCCTAATACATTAGGTAACCACTAACATATTACTAGAATACTAGAACGCTACTAGACACTAGCTGGAATTATCATTAATTTACAGATTTTTCATTTTCATTGTTTGTCCCTGCTGAAACAGAAACCTTTAAGTGTTTCTGCTGGTTTCTAGTGGTATTGTGATGTGTTTTGGCATTTCTTGATAGGTTGATATCACAGTGTAAAGGACTGTAATGGTTTAACAGGTGTTCTGGGACTGATTCCAGATGCATTGGATGGTTTCCAAATGGGATCTTAAGGTGTCCTACAGGAAACTGGTGTCTAATTGTAACCATTAAGCCAAATCCCATTAAAAAGCAACACCATCAGTTTTTAATCCTAATGGTTCTAACGGTCTTTTTTTTTCAACAGGGTTGACTGACTTTTGACATTTACGGGCCTGAACTGAAAGCTCTAATAGCCATGGTTCGCCACTGTTTATATGCTAAAATAGTAGTAAATCTTAAAAAACAAGTATTAATTGGACACTATTTAGCCGTAAAACACCCTGTGTATAGACCTCTGCCATGAATATATTTAAAAATCTATGTGTTTTATGCCTAAACCTCATCTCAAAACTATTTACAACACTGGCTATGTATGCAAAGATTTTCAGCAATCTGATTGAATTCATTCTGATTTAAGTTTGAGGTGTTTACAAAGACTAGAGGTGTTTGCATGCATGTTCTACTCAACAATCTGATAAAAATCTTCTTTACATGCACACTAGAAGTAATCAAAGTCCAGCCAGAGTGAGAAGAGCAGCAGTGTGTTCACTTGTGTTTTTAATTACTTTAAAAGTATGGCAGACTGAGGAAAATGTACTTCACATTTACTTATTAAAGAAGGGCCGGGAGTAAATTGTCATGTCCTGCAACATTCTGAGACCATCCATCCATCTTCCTAACTATTTTTAAATCTTTTAAAGTTTGAAGCATAAACTTTGTCCCCTCTGCAGACCAGGGACCAGATTCAAGGTGTCCTAAGAATGAAAATCTTCTTAAATGTGTGCTTTTTCTTAACTTCATTCTTAAGAAAAAAGTTATTAAAAAATATTATTGTTTAAATAACTTTTTGGGAATTCTCTTATTTTCTTATCTTCTTAAGAATTATTCTAAGAACAAGTGGTATTCTTGAAAACATTATGTTCTTAAATGTTTTCTTAACCTTACAAAAGCCTCACACTTATCTTAGGTGAGAGTTGACAAGGTGAGCATCAAAATTCATCAATTTATCAACTCCTGCCTACCCTTGTCTCTTGCTTTCCGCTGTTATACCACAATTACTGTATTTTCCAAGAAGGATTTTTTTCCTGTTGGCGATTTCTTCCACCATCACCTCTAGTTCTTGTTAGCAAATTTGTTTAAACACTTGATTTGATGATTTTCCTCTATTTTGCTGTCCTCTGAGTGGATTATCCCAATAACAGAAATAACAGTTAATACAAATTCTAAATGTATTTATGGTATGGGGTAAAATGCAACATAGCCTACATAAGAAAAAAAAAAAACATAAAATAATTAAGATTATCTTAAGGGAACACTTGAGAACTTGTTGAGTTTTTTCAAGAATTGCATTTACGAACACTGGGCCTCAATCACCGATATCTTGTTTTTCCCTAAATTTGTTCTTGAGAAAAGTCTTAAGAAACAGTCTACGTCAGATTCATGACGTGTTCTTAAACCGCAGAACTGTTTGCACCACACTGAATGACTGTTTACACCAGATCCATTTAATTAAGGAAAAAAGGCTCTTTAGTGTGCAGATTCTGTTCTTCCCTAAGAACAAATCCCATTTAAGACAACACGGGTGAATGTCAGAAACGTGAAAACTGCCTAAGTGGGTTTTAAAGACTTGTTTTTTCTTAAGAACTGTTGGTGAATGAGGTCCATTCTTATGAACCTTTAAGTGTTCGTCTTATGAAGCTTGGAAGCTTTTTTTTTTAAGAAAGTTTTCGTGAATCCGTCCCTGGTTTCTGCTTCCGCCATGTTGAACGTTGTAAACTTTCGTTATGACGCAAACGCACATGCGCAGAACGTACTTCAATTTTCCAGTTGGGAATGTAATCAGATACGGTCGTTTAGGCTATTATTCTTCTATTTAACGGATTATTTACAAGATTACAGGATTTTTTTATGTAATATCTTTCTGTGAGGAGGCCTATAGGGGCATTAAACTCTAAAGACAGCTGGTTCCTATCACTACTGTGAAAAATACCCTGAAGAAGAAAGGACAATTAGTTTACCGTAAAATACCTTTAGATCCATCAAATGCTTTTAGAATCAGCACTGTTTACCTGTTAACCCATTAGGATCCTTTACACTGTGATATCAACCCATTAAAAAAGCCAACACGTTACAAAAGGATTAGGAACCAACAAACTTCATGGTTTCTGTGGGTTTTTAGCAGGGTACTGAATTCGTTTCTCTACAGCGGAGCATTTTACATCAGAGCACTCTGTTTACACCTGATCCATTTAATTAAGCAAGAAGATCGCTGAAACCCCTTTTAAGACTAAAGGGACCTGAGCACCGAGGCAGCTCTCGGTCCTGATACTGTTTTCAATGAACTTCTCCTTGAGTCATATATCTCATTGCATCACTCGCTGCGGTGTGATCTCATTGGCTGCTCGGCGGAAGGTGAAGCGTAAACACCGTAAGGCGCATTTATTTAGCTACACGTTCTCCTTCACGTCCAGCTCGCGTGAAGAAGATTCGATTAGCGCTCGCGCCTCGGCTCCGTTTTCGGAACTTTCAATCGCAGGCGTCTCTCTCTCTCTCTCTCTCTCTCTCTCTCTCTCTCTCTCTCTCTCTCTCTCTCTCTCTCTCTCTCTCTCTCTCTCTCAGTGTCTTCGTGCCTCCTACGTTCTTGCGCGCGCCGCGCGTTGCGGACGTTTCCACACCGCGTGCATGAGTCCGGGAGAAAAGGCAGCCAAAGAGGGATTAGAGCATCATCGAGTGGAGGTCAAAAAATGGTGAGTGCAATGATTTTTCGTTTTCGGAACCTTTTAATAAAAAAGCTTCTTGCATGCCATCATGTATCTCAAGCACGCGCTCGGCTTTTCGGTGACCGAAACGGCTGCAGTGTGCATTTGCATCCACAATTAAAGGAAAAAAAGCGTGCAGTCTGAAGAGGCTTGTTCAGTTGGCTGGTTTCAATAATTGATAAGCGCGAGGGTTGTCTACTGGGATTTAGCCCATGTTTGTGGAGCAGCCCATCTGAGGAACAGCTGATGGGGCACGAGCTCTAATCATGTATTCAAATTGTATCACATACAGTATATATCATATGCAGTTAAAGTATATGATATGATACTCTTGACTGCAGTGGCACAAGTGCTGCAGCCTATATGCAGTCTTGCCTGTATGGTATACTTACTGTGTATGCCTATGTGCTTTGGATGGCTATATATGTCTATATAACTCCTGTATACTGTATCTATATAGGCCTATATATGCCTATATGCTGTATAAGATATAACATATGCATGCCTATATTCTACAGAAGTCTGTACATGCTTATATGCTGTATAAGTCTGTACAGTGCACATATGCTATACAAGAATATGGCTGTATGCTATTTATGCCTATATAATACATATATGCTATGTAAGCCTATAAAATGCCTATATGCTATATACACCTATGTATTCCTATACTCTATATAAGCTTGTATATGCTTATATGCTGTGAGTCTATACAATAGGTGTATGGTTCATAAACCTATAATTGCTTATACGCTATATAAGCCTGTATAATGCACATATGCCAGATAAGCCTATATATGCCTGAATGCTTTATGTTTTGTTGCTGTCAAGCAAAATATTAAAGCATCTTGCTGACAGGCACCCAATTCCAGTGTTACTGTTTTTTCACATCCTACACATGATGTAGCCCTCTGTGTTCCCAGCCTACAGCTTTGCACCTCACGCAGCAGACGGGATTAAAGCTGTCTGAGCAAAATATGGCACCGTAAGCCACTGATCAAAATGCCTGCTTGTCTTTGGGGAAAAGAGTGATGGCTTTCAAACGAAGCCATAATCTGTATGATTTTTGTCAAATATGCTGCTTCTTAGTTGGTTCAGTCTGTGAGCAAGGAGCCCTCGGCACGTTTGAACTTTTAGCTAACCATAAACAATCTGGGTACCAAAGCATTAATAGTCATGGAATGGAATTCATAAATTGTGTTTTTTTTACACAACAGATATTTCATCATCACTATCATCATCATCATCATCATCAGTGCCTGGACTATGTTTGCTGTCTAGACGCTGCAATGGTACATTGATGCAACAGTGAGTCACCACACCAGCCTCATGCTACAGCCCATTAACTGAGAGGAAAAAATCATCATTGAAAATTTCCCTTATTTGTGTACATTGCAGATTTCTTTAAACATTTATAAACAGTGGGCGAATATATGACCAAAACAATGACATTGACAATGTTGTGACAATTACCTACAAATCCAAAACACTGTTATTACCCCAAACGTAAAAAAGTTTGGGCACCCCTGGTCAAATGACATGTTTTGTTGATTTTCTAAGTGAAAATAAGTTCACAAATCCTCTACAGAGAACACACTTCTGCACATGTTAATGTGCAATAATTTTCATTATTTACTAAATTTAACATATTGGAAAAAGAAAATGTGAGATTTTATATTTTATGTTTTGTTACACTCAACAAATAATTAGAAATTGTGCACTAAAATGTGCAGAAAAAATTTCATCTTTAAGTTTATTCTCTGTTGAAGATGTGTTAACTTGTTTTCACCACAAAACAGGTAATTTGACCAAGAGTATTCAAGCTTTTGCACACAAACACACATATATATGTATATATCTGCTGTCAGAAACCAAACCTTGTATCTCTCCAATTTTATGAGGAATGGACCAAAAGAAATGGGCCAGAAATTACTTGGAAAAATGTCTGGTTCCGTTGACTTACATTAAAAGTAAAGTATGTTTTTTTTTGCTTCTTCTGTAAAGTTATCATTTTGGAGATACAAGGTTTTGTTCCGACAGCAGTGATATGATATATATATATATATATATATATATATAAAACAAGTTCACACATCTTCTTAATGAAAATAAAGGTTCCTAAATGGTTCTTGGCCTGGATATACAGTTCTAGCAGGAACTTGTCACTGGTATAGAACTTTACATTATGTGGAGGCTCATGAAACTTTGAGAAGGTTCTTCACACTCAGTATGTCTGATTTACAAAAAAACTTTGCCTCAAGGAACCATCCACTGAAAGATTCTTTAGGGACTCAAAAGTGGTTCTTCTACGGCATCGCTCCAAAGGTTCCTTTTTTGGCATCTTTATTTTTTAAAGTTTCTGTGTATAAAATTCTCCAAACACACGATTGGCGATGTGCCAATTACCTGCAGTTCTGTGAAAAAGTTTGAGAAAATTATACTTAAAAAGCTATCAGGTCAATAAGTGTTTATTTGGTCAGAGGAGGACTGATATTTGAAGACATACAAATAACATTAATACAGTAAGTAGGGATTTTATGTATGTCATTGTGTCCATTTAACCATTTCCAAATCCTCCTTGTTGGCAGCCCGGTATGATTTATAGTTATCATCCAATACCTGGTTCAGCTAATCAATACTGCATGTTAAATCAGGAGCGCAATGACAGGGAGCATTGAAGACAAATCAGAAACCAAACTAGCTCATAAGATAAATACTTTTTTTAAAAATGAGAATTGTTACTTTTTACTATATTTATGTTTATTTATATTTACATATTCTAATAATGTACAGGCACTTATTGTCCAGATAATTGGTTTTAAACAGTGTGTTTAGGTGTCCAGTTGCCAATTACTTTTGATGTAGCAGTTTATTCGATTCACATTATTTAAATAGGTAACTCATTTTTCATGCATAAATCTAAAATTCCATTTTAGCCCATTAAATAGCAAATTAGGTTATTTATATTTATAGTTAAATAATATTCTGGTGGTTTTTTATGTGTTCATTACTCACATGATTGCTGCATCCATATATAGAGTATGCTGAATGAGTGCCTGCTGCTATAGATGAAAAGGTCACAGAGTCTGACATATAAGGATGAATGGATAAATTAAACGTGCCTTCTTAGACATCCAGAGTGTCCACTGTAGAATTGGCTCGACTCAGTCCACTCTCATGTGCAGCGATCAGTTGCATAGTGTAACCGTTGTATTGTGTGACCGTATCTTAATTACCCATCAGTTACCTGGTGAAGGTGATGAGATCATGATCAGAAGGCTTAATGTGTCCTTTGAGAAGAAGATGGCAGTAAAATTACACAGTCTGACCTCACAGTTTGGTGAAAATGGAGTTATCAGAATAAGTATATTAAGAGGACTGAGACCTAGGTAAGCTGATTTTGACATTTCGGAGAAATCTGATGATGAAAATGGAAAACTAAAATCTCATTTTTCTGGGGTAAACCCTTAGAAGTCTAGATTTACTACTGTTTTTGCTATGTTATAGTAATTATGTAATTAAAAAATTGGATAACTAGGTACATAATGAACTACATTTAGATTTGATTTACACTGATGAGTTTGAGTCACCACTTCCCCAGTTTTATGACTATTTAGATGTAAAAAAAAAAGCGACACAGCAGAAAGGATTTTCTTTCAGCAGTAACTTTTCATTAAATCATAATAAAATATCACCTTATGAACTTCCATTTGTTTCAGTGACCTACAAGTGAGAAATAAGTCATATAAATTACACCATGCTTTTGTGCAGTACACTCCAAGAGTCAGAGATCCCCCTTCATTTATTTAATTTTCAGTCAAAGGGCCATTAAGTACAGGTTATTCATTTTTTCAGAATCAGAAAAAGCAGGAAACATTTATTTAACAGAAAATTACACAGAAGCATCAACAACTAAATATAACACCACATTTTCTCAGTATTCAGTGTCTCCACACTTTCCATTTATTACAGCTTCCATCCTTCTTCTGCAGGGATATATTTCACACCTCCAAAGTTCAGTCTTAGAAGTTGGTTGTATTTTCTGCTTCTTACAAGCCAAGTAATCCCAAACATATTCAGTGATGCGTTTCTTTGTTCGATTTGCAAATTTTCTTCTTTTTTGTCTATTTTCCTTTCTCAGTAAAGGCTTCTTGTCAGCTGCACATCCTTTCAGACTCATAGTGTTGAGTTGTCTTCTCACAGTGGAAGGATGGACAGAAACAGCTGTGGATTTTATCAGATCTGAAGCAGCTTGATTTTCTCCTCTCTCTCAAAGATGAAAGGTCCTGTTTATCTGATGGCGACAGTTTTGGTGGTCTACCAGGTCTTTCATGGTTATTAGGAAATTAAATTAAATAAATTAAGGGTGGTCTGACTTTTGCGCAGTATTGTATATTTTCAAAAGACTTTTTAAAAAGATGCCTGTGGAACTCTTTCGATAGAGAGATTCGTCATTTGGTGGCTTTTTGGAATGCACTGGTCTACAGACAGTGGATGGTCATTTAGGGTCTGAAGCAGCTGTTTGATACTGAGTGTTGGATGTTGCAGTTCAACTGTAAACACTGACAAAGATAAAACCGAGCTGCACTGATTAACTTCATTTTTGTCTGTGAAATTGTGTGAACAGGTCTGGGGTTGTGTTTTCTGTCACTGTATAAATGAAGCTCTGTTTTGCCTTTTTTGTTGGATGCACTGTGATGGTTTCTGAGCAAGTGTGCACACACATTCACAATGCAATTCCTAATAAAATAAAGGCAATTGGAGTGTGTGCTATTCATGTGTGTGCTTCCATCCAAATTCCTTTGTGATGCAAAATAAAAGTCTACCAATTTCATGAACTGTTAGGTCATGTTCTTTACATAGATAAATGCATCAACAGCACTGAGATTGAACAACATGTTATTAAAGAAAAAGAGTAGATTAGTAGGCAATTTTAAAGGGCCCTTATTATGGAAAACTGAATTTTTCTTTGTTTGATTAGCTTGTAAACATTATTAAAGTTTCAAAACGTATTCACTCCCCAGTCCATACATACATTTCTGTGATGCCCTAAAACTCATATATCTGCCCATTCAGCCTACAGCAGTTTAGCTCCACCCATTCACACTGAAGTTATAATGAGTGTTTCCGCCTGGACTGCTTTTTGATCGAGGTGCAATGCAGAGCAGCCAATCAAAACAGATCTCATTTACATATATCTGTCTTAAAGACCCAGGAAAAAAACAGCATGTTTAATTGTTTGGGATGAATAGACTTTGAAAAAAAAATCTAAAAATTAATTATGACTGGTTTTGACTGTTTTTAAACTCACACAAATATATAGAACCTTTTTGAAAATTTTGAAGAGTGTAGAGATGTTTTTAACTGACTCTTGACATTTATGGCTCGAACTGAAATCACTGGTTTATATGCCTGTTACAGATTTAAAACATGGAATGCCTTTTGCAAGTTTTAAATATCTACATTTAATCTAAAACCACCAAAATGTTCAGGGAAATCACTGTTAGCTTAGCACTAGCATACTACTAGAGTCCCATAGGGGCGCTAGCAGAAATGAGCATTATAATAAAGTTGTTTTTGACTGTATTTTGAGATTTATGGCCTAAACTGAACATTTCCATGGGACATTTCCATATAATGTGTGAAGTATTTATGGTGGTAGAACATTCTGCAAAAAGAAAGAACATGTTTTAACATTTTAGTTTATTCTGCTAAGATGAATTTGGCTGGAGTCAGTACAGTCAAGCAGTTGGCAAAGTGAAAGAAAACAGCTGACTTAAGATGGTCATGGTTGTTGACCTTGCTCCAGTTTCCAGGAACAGGCTACACAATACAGTGACAAAACATAAGGATACTGAAGAGGAATAACAGTTCCAAAGGCATGCTTGCCTCTTGTAATGGAACAAAGCTTGATGTCCTGAAGAAGGAAAACGTGACGTGCAGTGATCGCTCTTAATGTTCTGAAACTGCAGCGCTCTGCTCTGGGCGATTTTAGAGTACCCTCCCCTCTTTAAAGCAGAGCTTGAATTTAAAACACATTCATATCATCTCCGTCCTGTTGCTCCTCATTTAGATTGTTATCAGAAGGGCCAGCGTGCGCTCAGCTTCCAGAAAAAGCTTGTCTGCTGCTTGAGTGACAGCTGCTGTCAGAGAGCTGCTGACTACTTATGAACCAGTAGTGAACCAGCGCACACACTGCTTCATCTGATTCCCTGTTGATTTTTTTCTCTATCTCTCTCTGTCTCTGTTTCTCTCTCTCTTCTCTCTGTCTCCACACAGAACAAAATATGCATCGTTTGTTTGGTTTA